ATTAGTCGTTTTCAAAATAATCGTTAGATTAGTCGACTAATCGATCAAATAATCGCCCGATTAATCGTTTTCAAAATAATCGTTTCCCCCCAGCACTAATGAAGATGACAGAAAATATACAGTGTTCTCCTCCCCATTCGGTCTTCATGAATACAACAGGATGCCCAGGGCTTGACGAACAGCCCTGCCACTTTCATGCGAATGATGATGTCCATCTTTGGGGATGAGAACTTCACAAGTCTGCTATGCTACATGGATGACCTCATGGTCTATGCCCCATCTGAACAGGTTGCACTTGAGCGTCTTCAGATGGTTTTCTCACGTCTTGCAGCCAACAACTTAAAGCTCTCCCCTAAGAAGTGCTACTTTCTACGCAGGTCAGTCAAGTTTCTGGGACACATTATTTGTGAGGATGGTGTTAAGACCGACCCGAGTAAAGTGGAGGCTATAAATGATATGCAGGAAGCTGACTTGATGGAGCAAGATGGGCAAACACCGTGTGCTAAGAAGATCCGGTCTTTCTTAGGGATGGTTCTCTATTACCACCATTTCATTGAGGGATGTTCTGCCAAAGCTAAGCCGCTGTTCAACCTTGTGGCTGAGCCTGCCACACCACACAAAAGAGGGAGAGGCCACAAACCAAAGTTTAAAAAAGGTTATGTCAGACTCTCTCCAACAGACTGGAATGATGAGTGCAAAGAAGCATTTGGAACATTGAAGTATGAGCTGGTGCACAGTGTCACTTTAGCACATCCAGATTTTAGCGCTCCATTCATTCTTGCAGTTGATGCCTCCTTTGATGGCATAGGGGCCGTCCTTTCACAGTTGCCTCCTGATGGAAAGATGGCCAGACCTGTAGCATTTGCTAGCAAGACACTTTCCCACTCTCAGCTGAACTATCCAGCACATCGACTTGAGTTTCTCGCTCTTAAATGGGCAGTTTGTGACAAATTTAGCCATTGGCTAAAAGGGCGATGCTTCACAGTCTGGACAGATAATAATCCATTGACATACATCTTGACTAAGCCTAGGTTGGATGCTTGTGAGCAGAGGTGGGTTTCAAAGCTCGCAGCATACAGTTTTGACCTGAACTATATTCCTGGTCCACAGAATGTGGTCGCTGATGCATTAAGTAGAGAGCCATTTGTCCAATCGTGCATGAGCCACCGTCTTGTGACTGAACCTTATGCGTTTTTAATGAACCACATGTCTGGGATGGTGGATAGAACAGTGCAAGATGCATTTAGGTGTACTAATAACTGCCAGGTGGTTGTTGATCAGTCCGAGGAAGTCGCCGTCATCACCCAGCCTCCTTCTCAGGGGTCCCTGTCATCACATGACGTCTCAGCAGTGTTGGATGCACACGACACTGGAGGTGTCGGCCAAGTGAGAGGAACAGGACCAGCTGTTTTTCAGGTCGCTGGTGTCGACCAGACTTCCTCTCTACCAAAGAGTGAACTTGTTAATCTCCAAGATCAGGATGATGTCATAGGCAGGGCTCTCTATTACATCCAGCGCCGCAGGACACCCACAAGACGTGAGCGTGCTGCTGAGTCTCGCGGAGTGACAAAACTGCTAAGACACTTGCTCAAACTCTCCGTCAAGGATGGCATTTTGTGCAAGGTAAAGAAAGACAGACAAATGAACACGACAATCCACCAAATTGTGGTTCCAGACTCCCTTAAGGCCCAAGTCATCAATGGCATACATGACTCGGCTGGTCATCAGGGACAGGCCCGCACGCTTTCTCTTGCCAGGCAGAGATTCTTTTGGACAGGGATGGAACGTGACATCATCAATCATGTGAGAAATTGCTTCCGATGTGTGGTTGGAAAAACACCTGAGCCTAACGACCGTGCTCCTCTTGAAAGCATTTGCACCTCTGAACCGATGGAACTAGTCTGTATTGATTTCTGGACTGCTGAACAGACTGATAAAAAGTGTGTGGATGTTTTGGTAGTCACAGATCATTTTACTAAAATGTCTCATGCATTCCCGTGTAAAAATCAGTCAGCTAAGCAGGTCGCTCGTCGACTTTGGATTGACTTTTTTTGCATATATGGTTTCCCCAAACGCATCCATTCAGATCAAGGAGCCAATTTTGAGAGTCAACTCATTAAAGAGCTCATGGAGGTGGCTGGCGTCCAGAAGTCACACACCACCCCTTACCATCCTATGGGGAATGGAGTTGTCGAGCGGTACAACAGAACACTTGGGAGCATGATAAGGGCCCTGCCTCCACATTCCAAGGCCAGGTGGCCACAAATGCTCCAAATGCTGACATTCTGTTACAATTGCACTGAGCATGAAACAACAGGCTTTGCACCATTCTTTCTCATGCTTGGGAGGACCCCACGTCTGCCAGTTGATGTTGTATTCCAGCATGCCCTCTCTAGCAGTGCTGTTGTTGGCCATTGTGAGTTTGTTTCCCGCTTGAACCGTGACCTGGCTGAAGCTGCTCACATTGCCCGGCAGAACAGTCGCACTGAACAGGCACGTCAGGCAAAGAACTACAACCGCAAAGCAAAAGGGTCACCTCTCACTATTGGTGACAGAGTCTTGCTTGCAAATCGTGGTGAGAGAGGGAGAAGAAAGATTGCAGACAGATGGGTTTCCACACTTTATGAAGTGATATCTGTGAAGCCAGGAATCAATGTGTACTGCATTAGAGATCCTGTGACGTCAAAGGAGAAAGTTGTTCACAGGAATCTCCTGCTTCCTGTGAGTTTTCTCCCCGTGGGAGGCGATGAAGATCTTGAGTCAAGCTGCTCTTCTGTCGCTGGAAGTGGACAAAGTGACCCAGTGGTTTCTCTTGCTGTACAGGACAGTGAGACGAAGACAGTTAACTGGCTCCTGCAGATGGATGATGCAAATGATGGGGATGAGATAGCCAGCCAGCCTGATTGTTCTTCAGTTGTGGCTGTGAGCACAGCATCTTCAGAAGCAGAAGAGTCTTTGATCTCACATGTTGGGTGTGAGGTTTTGAATCCCTCAGACTCTTCCGCACGTGTTGCACAGTTGCCCTCCACTGTTGAATGTGAGGTGTCCCAAGATGCATCTTTACAGCCCTCCGCAGAAAGAGCTCATTGTGTGCCCTCCCCTGACATGGCAACAGAAACACAACTGGGTGCACTCACACAGGGCCATGTAGTTAGTGAACAGCCTCTTCCACTTTGCACTAGGGCAGGTAGACCTATAAAGCTTCCAGCTAGACTCATTTGTGAAGTGAATGAGCAGATTGTTGATGACTCGGTGTCAACAAGTGGTTCTGTGTTTTCTATTATGAGAGACATATTCTTTGGTTAGACTCCTGATAGTGATTATAGAGATATATATATATGTTTTTTCTCAATCAGTATTTACACTGTCTTACAGTGTCCCTCAGTCATTTCAAGATGTAGAAGAGTAATGTTTATTTTATAAGAGGTGTACACGGCATCTTTTGTGTCTGTTATTAAGGGGTTTGGCCAATCTCTTGCTGACTTGTTCCAAGTGGACAGTTTCAAACTGACTTCAACGAGGTTATGCTCACATTTCTACACAGCTTGTATTTTGTATCTCTTGTGTGTTTTGTTGTTTTCTGTGTTTTGCCCCAATTTAGCAGAATTTTAGGGGTGTGTGTGTGTGTGTGTGTGTGTGTGTGTGTGCGTGTGTTCGTGCGTGCGTGTGTGTGTGCGTGCGTGTGTGTGTTTGTGTGTGTGTGTGTGTGTGCGTGCGTGCGTGCGTGCGTGTGTGTGTGTGTGTGTGTGTGTGTGTGTGCGCGTGTGTAACAGAGTTATAAAGGTTGGTGTTAAATTGGAGAATTACGCCATCTGGTGTTACAAACGCGTGCCTGCATTGCTGTAGCTTTGTTACCGTAATGGATTGTGGGAGGTTCTCATACCGCGTGAGGATCTGTTGAGAGTAAGGTGCTATTGTATTATGTCTGTGGACAAAATGTATGTTATTATTTTATTAGGACAATAACGTATGTTGTGTTTGTTTAGTTTAATGTTAGTCGTTTAATGCTCACAGCAACATGTTTTTTGTGTGATTCGCTATTTGTGTTATATGATTTATTAATGTGTTCGTCAATAGCTCATTTGAGCTAATAGGCTAACGTGAGCGTGGTGCTATCTCTCCAACAGAACGCAGCTCACGTGTCCATTGCAATGCAGGTATGTGAGTTTTGTACACCAGTTTGTTTATGTTGAATGTTTCACATTGTTTATACCACTATACGATCATTGTTGTGTTGTTGATTATTGGACACTTATTTTGTAAAGGAGATTGAGATACCGCGTGAGGGTCTGTTGAGAAACGCAGCTCACGTGTCCATTGCAAAGCAGGTATGGAAATAAACTGAAGTAATCACCAGCTCTGAGTGGTCTGTTGCTGAGGGGACATTACACCGGGTTACACATAGCTTTAAGAAACACTTAAGTTGTTGGTCAAGACACTTTCCATCTGATGAAGACAAATGCCTTCATCAGATGGAAACAAGTAGAAAACATTACATTCAGTTATAACTGCCAAAACAAACATTTGTTACACTATTATGGCCCCTGTTAAAAATGTTTGTAATGTTATCTACTGTAAGTTGGTCGAACGAATGCCTCCTCATCCGGAAGCTGACCGAGCAGACCCGAGCAGCAGTCGGGAGGAGCCGAGCGCATCCGCCAAGCACACAAAATGGCGACGTCAGAGTTCCTGTTAGCCGGCAAATCTAAATCTCTTCCGTCAAAATAATTTCCCTTTAGCGCAATACCGCTTCAGTTGCGCCACTTATGTGACAGACAAGAAGAGTCAACTCTAATGTCTAACACTGAATGTGGAGAAAGAGATGTCCTGGATGGGTTGATTGTGCGTTGATCTGTTGGTAATGCCTCGGGGTTCCGGTGGGCATGTAAACAAATGCATAATGCTGCGCTATACTTTGTGGCCTCACCCGGTTGCATAGCGACACTTATTGTTTAGGTGTCTTTTAATAAGCAGGTAGTCATATCATTAGCTAGAACTAGCTGGATCTGATCGATATGGACATAATCGCGAGTGAAGTCTAATCTGACGGGAGAGAGAGATCAGCTGCTGCTGTGTGAGATGACTGAGCCCAGTTTCCCATTCATTGCTCAGCTAGTGCACACAGTCCCTGCTGGAACCACCAAACAAGATTTTACAGAGAGAAAATACTGACTTGATGACAGGTTTAAGTCTCGTGGCTTGTGCAACAGCTTGTGTACGCAATCTCCGTTGTGGTGAGGAGTTTAACAAAGTGTGGGACATGGCCATGGCTGCCAGCGCTACTCCGAGACCCGAAGTGCCCAAACGGAGACGCAGAGCCAACCCGACGATGGATGGTATGTAGTCGAGAGAACTACAGGACACAGGGATGATTACAAAACAGAACTTCAGAGGCTGTACTACAGCACGATTGATTCAGTGCTTGGAGAAATGGATCAGAGATTCAGCGAGCGCAACTCGCAGCTGGCCAAACCACTTGCTGCGCTGAATCCAGAAAGCGACACATTCCTTGATGCAAAGGCTGTGAAGCCCATTATGGACCTGTCGGGATCGCCTGTAATCGAGGCGCATTATGGACCTGTCGGGATCGCCTGTAATCGAGGCGCATTATGGACCTGTCGGGATCGCCTGTAATCGAGGCGCATTATGGACCTGTCGGGATCGCCTGTAATCGAGGCGCATTATGGACCTGTCGGGATCGCCTGTAATCGAGGCGCATTATGGACCTGTCGGGATCGCCTGTAATCGAGGCGCATTATGGACCTGTCGGGATCGCCTGTAATCGAGGCGCATTATGGACCTGTCGGGATCGCCTGTAATCGAGGCGCATTATGGACCTGTCAGGATCGCCTGTAATCGAGGCGCATTATGGACCTGTCGGGATCGCCTGTAATTCACTCAAAAAAATGATTCAAGCCCTTCTTAGACTTGACACATTAAAAATGGTTTCACTTTACTTAAATATTTTTATTTAAGAAATAAACCTAAGTATAGTTCATTAGTGTAACACAAATTACATTAATCAATTCACTTATTAAATGTATTTAAGACAGAGCAACTCAAAATGAATTGTTTTCATTGGGGACCGCCCCTTTGCACACCCCCTTTGCGTATGCGCAACATCCGTTCTGTCATTTGCCGCCTTTTGTCTAACACTGACTGTGGAAACTGACTGGGGAAACTGACGGTGGAAAGTCTATTATTTGGTAAGTATTTGTTTTTTCTAGTAGTTTAGAATGTTCCCTGTTTCCAAGTAATGCCTTTTCATAATATCGACAAGAATATTTGAAACCACCGTGTTATATTTTGCTCCGTTTTTAGTTGGGTCTAAACAGCAAGCTAGCTAGCTTGCTAGATATGGTTAGCATTGAATACTGGATAGTAGAGATCATTAGATTATATTACATTAGATTTAACGTTATTGTCATTGAACACAGTACACCGAAATTCAGTTTAAGTTCAACCAAAAATGCAACGAGTAATTAAAGTGCATGAGGTAAAGCGGGAAGCTAGCTAGCCAGATAACTGGTTTGTTAGCTAGCTTGCTAGATACGGTTAGCATTGGATACTGGATAATGGAGATCATTAGATTATATTACATTCGATTTAATGTTATTGTCATTGAACACAGTACACCGAAATTCAGTTTAAATTCAACCAAAAAATGCAAAGAGTAATTAAAGTGCATGAGGCAAGCTAGCTAGCCAAATAACTGGTTTGTTAGCTAGCTTGCTAGATACGGTTAGCATTGGATACTGGATAATGGAGATCATTAGATTATATTACATTCGATTTAACGTTATTGTCATTGAACACAGTACACCGAAATTCAGTTTAAATTCAACCAAAAAATGCAAAGAGTAATTCAAGTGAATGAGGTAACAGTATAGGAGGCAGAGCCTGCATGCAAGGGCTGCCATTTTCTATCATAAAGCTCAGCAGGTGTGTCCATCTCTCTCCTGGCCTTAGTGCAGGCAGGCAGAGGAGGACAGGCGGAGCCACTCGTTTCTGTAGGAGTTCAGTTGAGTTTAGTTTTTTACTGCCAAATATTTAATATAAATAATGAGATAATATATATGTGAATCTTGTATGGGTTACTTCACTCACAAGCAGGCACCCAGAGTTGTGCAGAAACGTTTTTTGGGTTGTGCAATCTTAGGCAATTATGTGTTTTCTGTGAAAATTCAAATATATAAGCATTTTAATCACACCTCTAAAATATATTTGTTGTCTTTTGCAGTTTGATCAGCATTAACAAGCACCTTGGGGAAACCTCTTATTTATGGTAAGTACACGGCTACTTTCACAATACTTGCACAAGCTGATCTGTGACATTGTCAGTTGTTCAGTGTCAATTGCTAATTCTATTTATTCTCTTTTTCAGGTTATGCATGTGGCAGTGCAAACACTGCAGTTTGGAACTAGCTAGCAGGTATTTGTTGTTAAAACATTTCCAGCAGACACACTGTAAAAATATTTTTATGTTCATCTTTGATATAATCCTAATGTGTTTCTTTCTTGTTATTCTTTCACCTTGTTTCTGCTCTAGATTAAAAGGTGTTCCATAACGGCAGGTCGGGCGCTTCTGCGCATCATCTTTGCCGACCAGTCTGACTCTAGAAAACTGACCCTGGATTCGGGAATCCCAGCAACAGTTGAAGAACTGCACACATTTGTCAAGACATCTCTTCAATTGAAAGAGGACTTCCGTCTGCAATACATGGATGTTGACTTTAACGAGTTCATGAATCTTACATCAGTGTCTGAAATTCAGGATAAAAGCACACTGAAAGTAATTTACTCTCCTATATTGTCAAATATTGAGCCCTCCATCACTTAGTACACAGTTGACTCATTTGATAAGACCTCAATTACTGGAAGCTCAGAGTCTCTAATCCCTGCATCATCAATAGCCTCATGCTGCAGTGATGATATGGTGTATACGTCAACCCCGCATCCATCCCCTGAAGCTCAGGCCTCACAATTGTTATCCTGGCCCACAGTTTTTGTGGTTCCTAAGCTCACCTACGAGGCTGAATTTGAGCTTCATCTACAGAATGCAGAGTTTGAGACAACTGGTACATACTTCCAGCCTGGCCTAAAGCTGAAAGGAGTCATTCTTGATGGCCTAGCCCAAGAAATGATCAAATTCACAAAATATCCAAAAGACTATCAGTGTGAAGAGGTAGCTGCAGCGTTGACGAGGGCCCACCCTTGTTTGGGGCAGCTAGGATCCAAGATAGGATTTGGGGGGTGGAAACAGTCTCTTAAGTACAAAATGCAAAACTATCGTACAAAGCTTGGCCGTCTTGGACATCCTGAAATCCTTGTGAACTCCTTAAAGCACAAGAAAACAGGCCAAGGCAAAGCTGCAGCAAACATAAAAAAACAAGAAAAGCTGAAATAAACTACATTCCTCTGCACCCAAAAGGCGAAACCACAGAAAGCTTGGAGAACGAGAGAATTGCCTTATTGTCAGAACTGAAAAAGTGTGACAATGAAGTGGTGATAAAAGCAAAAATGGAAAAAACCTTCTCTCACAGACGCCTTGAGATTGTGGAGCAAAGGCCTTTGATAGGGGACTTCAAATGCAGATGGCCTGCTCTGTTTCAGCAGAGTGAAGTAAGTAAATATTTGTATTTGTTGACAGTCTTTTATTATTATCCTTTGTGATTCATGTCTACATCCTTGCATGGTTGTGATTCTAATAAACAAGTAACAATTGGTTGTATTGTGCTTGTTAATAATATTTTTAAGGTGAATGCGGAGTTTTTGAGGATCACAACATCACCACTTCAATCAAAGTTCATGTGGCAGCTGGACCACTTCTCAGACAAGCTCTTGAAGATCTTCAAGATCAAAGGAGGACTAAAGGGCCACAAAATCAAGGAAGCCCTTGCAATATCAGATTTGGTTAGTATAAATGCAGAGAACCTCGTTTTTCACTGTATTGTTTTTGTCCATGCTCATATGAACACATTTAAGAAATTGTCTGCTTTTATAGTGTTTTTAAGGCAATAGCTTATTGTGGAAATGTAGGGGTAAGGAGTCCTGCTTAGGGACACACACGACAGATACAGCCCTCTACTTTGTAGACTACCTGCTCTGTTGCACATGCATTGTGCTTAATTGTCTTTGATTTATCGCCCCTGCTTTAGTTTGAAAACATCCACATCAAGAGGGGGTGCATCCTGCGAAGCATCGCGATCTACCTCAACGAGGATCCAGACTCTTTTTTTAAGGAGTATCAGGTATGTTTATCACAATATGTTTTCAATGTAGTGGTTAACAGTGTTACCCACAATTATAACCACCATTACTTACATTGATAATAAGAAAATTCTATGGCGCACACAACCCTATCCCTGCTTACATCTAAATATCTTATCACATATCATAAATACATGCAGAAATAAATAAATGTATACATTAATATAGGAATGAATATATGTAAGAATGAATAAATACAGAAATAAAAAAATAATAATAAATAGATACAGAAGTAATTTCATCGGGCAAGTGTTAAAATAAATATAGAAAAAAGTGAATTAATACATTTATACAGATATAAATACATCTATAAATTAACATAGGAATACAATTGATAAATACAAATGTGAATTAAAACATGAATATATCTGGAAATAAATACAAATAATAAATGAATGCTGAAATAAATATTTACATTTATATATAAATACATCTATAAATGAATAAATAAATATGGACATGAATACATATGTAAGAACTTATAAATAATTGAATAAATACATAAATAAAATAATAAATAAATGCTGAAATACAGAAATATATTAATCAATAGATTCATGTTTAAAAAGGTATGTGAATGCAGCAATTACTAAATTGTTAAAGGAATAATTACATAATCACATAAATCAAGGAAATAAATTATTAAATAATAAATAATCAAATACATATCGAAATAAGTAGGTAAATGCATAATTAACTACAGGAATAACAACAAATTACATGATTAAGTAGGGATGTAAACAAATAACTTAATACCTGAATTAATAAATAAGATAAAGTTGATAATCAAACAGAACATACAGGAATATATCTTTATAATTTATTTATGTAAACATTTTCTTACAAGCTTAATTTAGTTCTGTGTTGGAGGTCCTAACCTTCTCTGGTATCACTCAGGACATTTTTGTCCAAATTGGTAATTTTTCACATCAGATTTGGCTATAATGATTTTGTGTTTTTTCTAGATACTTTTTGGAATTTCAATTTTTCTAATCGGTCTCGAATACACTGTGTACAAATTACCCTAATTGTCCATTTAAAAAATGTTCCCACACTTCCCAAAAAGTGTGGGGGAAAAATATTTAAATATAATATTGTTATCATATCATTTTATCATTCAAGTTTTTGAAAGTGGACATTTTTATCCTGAGTGGCCAGATTGGGTAGTACATTTGAGTGATACCAGAGGGTTAGTCTAAAACTGTTTTGATCAATTAGGAGAGCCACATAAGTAAATCTGCTTCTATAAAATGTAGTAATTCAGGTTTTAGTTAACACATGTGTTGTATGCTTGTGTCTTTGTTCAGGCCACTGCCTCTGAAGATGCCAAGAGGGACATGGCAAACACAGTCATGGGCATATACACACTTCAAAGAGATGTGGATGGGCAGCAAGAGGACGTGGGAATTGTCATCGAAGGCAATATAGTCATGGACAACTTGGGCAGCGTGATTGTGGGGTTTGTCATGCTATTGGGACTTATTTATGCCCTGGATTTGAGCTTTCCGGACAACCTCAAACACACCTTCGAGTTCATGCAGAAGGTAGTGATGAATCTGGATGGGCACAAGCTGAATGGTAAAATCGAAAGTCTGAAGATCAAGTTGTTCGATTGAAATGTGAAAAAGAAGTGACTCATGAGTTCATTGTTGTCATTTTATTCACGAGTTTCCTAATCAGAGCAGATTGAGCCGTTATATCAATCATTTGTGCTTTTCTGTATTTGTTTGTTTCAACACACTGTAACACTATTTCCATATGTTGGTGTTTGCAGTGCACTCTTCATGTTATGTGTTATTGTCCTGTTAGAAGAGCAGTGCATACCCCTGTTATATTGTATTCATTGTATTTGGCAAAGGGAGATTTGTAAGTTAATTATAGGAGTTCCATTTCTCTGCCATTTTAAAAATGGTATTATCTTTCAGAAATGTTTTTCATCTTTCAGTGTGAATTCATTCATTTTAAAACACTATTGAATGGAGGATTGTTTTGAATAATGTGAATTTAAAAATAAAAAAAACTAAACCATGTTTTCTATCATGTGTAACACATTTTTATTAAATTATATTTAACCTCATTATTTCATTTTCAATTAATTAAATAGGATTTAGGTGGACTAGCATTATCTAAATTCATAAAGGTAATGTTATCATTTTACTTAAACTCTATTTGAAAAATTTGAGTTGGACTAACTCATTTACATTATACTGCATGGATGCCATTAGTTTGAGTTTGTGCCACATATATTTATTGGATGGAAAACCTGCCAACAATAAAATTGAGTTAATCCAATGAGTTATTTCTTTGAGTGTTGAGGCGCATTATGGACCTGTCGGGATGGCCTGTAATCGAGGCGCATTATGGACCTGTCGGGATCGCCTGTAATCGAGGCAGAGTACGAAGTTGCGAAACAGTTTTTCAGCATGCAAAACAGTCACAGCCAATCGAGGGGGATTGGACTATACAGCACATCCTCTCCAATTACCACACGCACCTTAAGGCAAAGCGTAATGACTGCTTTCAAACATGCCGTAACATTTGGCGCCTCCACAGCGATGTGCGAGAGTTCTTCCTCCACCCTAAGGAAGGTTTCTTCGGACCATAGACGTGCAATGCTCCACAAAAGAAAGGCCCAGCTGGTTCAACTTGCGTTTGAGAGACTTAACAAGAAAATGCACAACCGAATGGAAAAACATTCTCTTGAGGTTCAGCACCAGCATTCGCCGCTTGCAACTCTTCTAAAGGTAGACATGCTTTTCATTTACTTAATGATGCCAGCCCTGGCTTTGTTGATGTTGAAATATTTTGGGGTCTGTCTGCATTTATGCATGAAGAGTAGATAGTCTATTTTAAATAGCCTGTTTTCGCTTTCACCTATGCGTAATGATGCAGTGCGCACAGCACCGTGTGTGAGAGAGGGAGCGAGTGCGCAGCGCCGTGTGTGTGAGAGAGGGAGCGAGTGCGCAGTGCAGTGTGTGTGAGAGAGGGAGCGAGTGCGCAGTGTGTGTGAGAGAGGGAGCGAGTGCGCAGTGTGTGTGAGAGAGGGAGCGAGTGCGCAGTGTGTGTGAGAGAGGGAGCGAGTGGGCAGCGTCGTGTGTGTGAGAGAGGGAGCGAGTGCGCAGTGCAGTGTGTGTGAGAGAGGGAGCGAGTGCGCAGTGTGTGTGAGAGAGGGAGCGAGTGCGCAGCGCAATGTGTGGGAGAGAGGGAGCGAGTGCGCAGTGTATGTGAGAGAGGGAGTGAGTGTGCAGTGCAGTGTGTGTGAGAGAGGGAGCGAGTGCGCAGTGTGTGTGAGAGAGGGAGCGAGTGCGCAGTGTGTGTGAGAGAGGGAGCGAGTGCGCAGTGCAATGTGTGTGAGAGAGGGAGCGAGTGCGCAGTGCAGTGTGTGTGAGAGAGGGAGCGAGTGCGCAGTGTGGTGTGAGAGAGGGAGCGAGTGCGCAGTGTGTGTGAGAGAGGGAGCGAGTGCGCAGTGCAATGTGTGTGAGAGAGGGAGCGAGTGCGCAGTGTGTGTGAGAGAGGGAGCGAGTGCGCAGCGTCGTGTGTGTGAGAGAGGGAGCGAGTGGGCAGCGTCGTGTGTGTGAGAGAGGGAGCGAGTGCGCAGCGTCGTGTGAGAGAGGGAGCGAGTGCGCAGTGCAATGTGTGTGAGAGAGGGAGCGAGTACGCAGCGTCGTGTGAGAGAGGGAGCGAGTGTGCAGCGCCGTGTGAGAGAGGGAGCGAGTGCGCAGCGTCGTGTGAGAGAGGGAGCGAGTGCGCAGCGTCGTGTGAGAGAGGGAGCGAGTGCGCAGTGCCGTGTGTGTGAGAGAGGGAGCGAGTGCGCAGCGCCGTGTGTGTGAGAGGGAGCGAGTGCGCAGTGTGTGTGAGAGAGGGAGCGAGTGCGCAGTGTGTGTGAGAGAGGGAGCGAGTGCGCAGCGCCGTGTGAGAGAGGGAGCGAGTGCGCAGTGCAGTGTGTGTGAGAGAGGGAGCGAGTGCGCAGTGCAGTGTGTGTGAGAGAGGGAGCGAGTGCGCAGCGTCGTGTGTGTGAGAGAGGGAGCGAGTGCGCAGTGCAGTGTGTGTGAGAGAGGGAGCGAGTGCGCAGTGCAGTGTGTGTGAGAGAGGGAGCGAGTGCGCAGTGCAGTGTGTGAGAGAGGGAGCGAGTGCGCAGTGCAGTGTGTGTGAGAGAGGGAGCGAGTGCGCAGTGTGTGTGAGAGAGGGAGCGAGTGCGCAGCGTCGTGTGTGTGAGAGAGGGAGCGAGTGTGCAGTGCAGTGTGTGTGAGAGAGGGAGCGAGTGCGCAGTGTGTGTGAGAGAGGGAGCGAGTGCGCAGTGTGTGTGAGAGAGGGAGCGAGTGCGCAGTGTGTGTGAGAGAGGGAGCGAGTGCGCAGCGTCGTGTGTGTGAGAGGGAGCGAGTGGGCAGCGTCGTGTGTGTGAGAGAGGGAGCGAGTGCGCAGCGTCGTGTGAGAGAGGGAGCGAGTGCGCAGTGCAATGTGTGTGAGAGAGGGAGCGAGTACGCAGCGTCGTGTGAGAGAGGGAGCGAGTGCGCAGCGTCGTGTGAGAGAGGGAGCGAGTGCGCAGCGTCGTGTGAGAGAGGGAGCGAGTGCGCAGCGCCGTGTGTGTGAGAGAGGGAGCGAGTGCGCAGCGCCGTGTGTGTGAGGAGGGAGCGAGTGCGCGGTGGTGGTGTGAGAGAGGGAGCGAGTGCGCAGTGTGGTGTGAGAGAGGGAGCGAGTGCGCAGTGCAGTGTGTGTGAGAGAGGGAGCGAGTGCGCAGTGCAGTGTGTGTGAGAGAGGGAGCAAGTGCGCAGCGTCGTGTGTGTGAGAGAGGGAGCGAGTGCGCAGCGTCGTGTGTGTGAGAGAGGGAGCGAGTGCGCAGTGCAGTGTGTGTGAGAGAGGGAGCGAGTGCGCAGTGCAGTGTGTGTGAGAGAGGGAGCGAGTGCGCAGTGTGTGTGAGAGAGGGAGCGAGTGCGCAGTGCAGTGTGTGAGAGAGGGAGCGAGTACGCAGTGCAATGTGTGTGAGAGAGGGAGCGAGTGCGCAGCGTCGTGTGTGTGTGAGAGAGGGAGCGAGTGCGCAGTGCAATGTGTGTGAGAGAGGGAGCGAGTGCGCAGTGCAGTGTGTGTGAGAGAGGGAGCGAGTGCGCATTGCAGTGTGTGTGAGAGAGGGAGCGAGTGCGCATTGCAGTGTGTGTGAGAGAGGGAGCGAGTGCGCAGTGCAGTGTGTGTGAGAGAAGGAGCGAGTGCGCATTGCAGTGTGTGTGAGAGAGGGAGCGAGTGCGCAGTGTGTGTGAGAGAGGGAGCGAGTGCGCAGCGTCGTGTGTGTGAGAGAGGGAGCGAGTGGGCAGCGTCGTGTGTGTGAGAGAGGGAGCGAGTGCGCAGTGCAGTGTGTGTGAGAGGGGGAGCGAGTGCGCAGTGTGTGTGAGAGAGGGAGCGAGTGCGCAGCGTCGTGTGTGTGAGAGAGGGAGCGAGTGGGCAGCGTCGTGTGTGTGAGAGAGGGAGCGAGTGCGCAGTGCAGTGTGTGTGAGAGAGGGAGCGAGTGCGCAGTGTGTGTGAGAGAGGGAGCGAGTGCGCAGCGCAATGTGTGTGAGAGAGGGAGCGAGTGCGCAGTGTATGTGAGAGAGGGAGCGAGTGTGCAGTGCAGTGTGTGTGAGAGAGGGAGCGAGTGCGCAGTGTGTGTGAGAGAGGGAGCGAGTGCGCAGTGTGTGTGAGAGAGGGAGCGAGTGCGCAGTGCAATGTGTGTGAGAGAGGGAGCGAGTGCGCAGTGTGTGTGAGAGAGGGAGCGAGTGCGCAGCGTCGTGTGTGTGAGAGGGAGCGAGTGCGCAGCGTCGTGTGAGAGAGGGAGCGAGTGCGCAGTGCAATGTGTGTGAGAGAGGGAGCGAGTGCGCAGCGTCGTGTGAGAGAGGGAGCGAGTGCGCAGTGCAATGTGTGTGAGAGAGGGAGCGAGTACGCAGCGTCGTGTGAGAGAGGGAGCGAGTGTGCAGCGCCGTGTGAGAGAGGGAGCGAGTGCGCAGCGTCGTGTGAGAGAGGGAGCGAGTGCGCAGCGCCGTGTGTGTGAGAGAGGGAGCGAGTGCGCAGCGTCGTGTGAGAGAGGGAGCGAGTGCGCAGCGCCGTGTGTGTGAGAGAGGGAGCGAGTGCGCAGTGTGTGTGAGAGAGGGAGCGAGTGCGCAGCGTCGTGTGTGTGAGAGGGAGCGAGTGCGCAGCGTCGTGTGAGAGAGGGAGCGAGTGCGCAGTGCAATGTGTGTGAGAGAGGGAGCGAGTACGCAGCGTCGTGTGAGAGAGGGAGCGAGTGTGCAGCGCCGTGTGAGAGAGGGAGCGAGTGCGCAGCGTCGTGTGAGAGAGGGAGCGAGTGCGCAGCGTCGTGTGAGAGAGGGAGCGAGTGCGCAGTGTGTGTGAGAGAGGGAGCGAGTGCGCAGTGTGTGTGAGAGGGAGCGAGTGCGCAGCGCCGTGTGAGAGAGGGAGCGAGTGCGCAGTGCAGTGTGTGTGAGAGAGGGAGCGAGTGCGCAGCGTCGTGTGTGTGAGAGAGGGAGCGAGTGCGCAGCGTCGTGTGTGTGTGAGAGGGAGCGAGTGCGCAGTGTGTGTGAGAGAGGGAGCGAGTGCGCAGTGTGTGTGAGAGAGGGAGCGAGTGCGCAGTGCCGTGTGAGAGAGGGAGCGAGTGCGCAGTGCAGTGTGTGTGAGAGAGGGAGCGAGTGCGCAGCGTCGTGTGTGTGTGAGAGGGAGCGAGTGCGCAGTGTGTGTGAGAGAGGGAGCGAGTGCGCAGCGCCGTGTGTGTGTGAGAGGGAGCGAGTGCGCAGTGTGTGTGAGAGAGGGAGCGAGTGCGCAGTGTGTGTGAGAGAGGGAGCGAGTGCGCAGCGCCGTGTGAGAGAGGGAGCGAGTGCGCAGTGCAGTGTGTGTGAGAGAGGGAGCGAGTGCGCAGCGTCGTGTGTGTGAGAGAGGGAGCGAGTGCGCAGCGTCGTGTGTGTGAGAGAGGGAGCGAGTGCGCAGTGCAGTGTGTGTGAGAGAGGGAGCGAGTGCGCAGTGCAGTGTGTGTGAGAGAGGGAGCGAGTGCGCAGTGTGTGTGAGAGAGGGAGCGAGTGCGCAGTGCAGTGTGTGAGAGAGGGAGCGAGTACGCAGTGCAATGTGTGTGAGAGAGGGAGCGAGTGCGCAGCGTCGTGTGTGTGAGAGAGGGAGCGAGTGCGCAGCGTCGTGTGTGTGTGAGAGAGGGAGCGAGTGCGCAGCGTCGTGTGTGTGTGAGAGAGGGAGCGAGTACGCAGTGCAATGTGTGTGAGAGAGGGAGCGAGTGCGCAGCGTCGTGTGTGTGAGAGAGGGAGCGAGTGCGCAGTGCAGTGTGTGTGAGAGAGGGAGCGAGTGCGCAGTGCAGTGTGTGTG